ATTGATAGGATGAGCACCGCACCGACCAACAGGTAAGTCTCCGATCCTGTGGCTGACCTCCAGTACTTCTATCGATAGCATGAGCAAAATCGAATGAATCTTTGCCAGAACATGAAGACATACCCTACTACATGTGTGTGTGTGTGTGTGTGTGTGTGTGCGTCTGGTGTGTGTGTGTGTACGCGCGCACGTGTGCATGTCTGGGGTGTGTGTGCGTGTGTGTGCGTGCCTGTGTGTGTGTGTGTGTGTGTGTGTGAGAGAGAGAGAGAGAGAGAGAGATTCCTTGATTGATTGATTGTTCTGATTGGTTGGTTGATATTGGTTGGTTGATTGATTGATCGGTTGGTTGGTATTGGTTGGTTGGTTGATTGATTTATAAAGGAAAAGAAAGAAAAAATTCTAAAAACAAAACCAAGAAATTGGGGGGTACTCAACTTATTTGATCCCCGTTCTTCTGCGATTTTTAAATCTTTTGTGGTTCATCAGAAAACGCTAAAATTTGACAGGTACCGACTTTATTAGGAGACTCATAACTTTAGAGGCACGGGGTCTGGTTTGGATTCACTTGCTTGGCTTCAAGGTTATTTTGGAAGGATTGGCTAAATGTGGAAAACTTTGGACCTAGCTGGACCCGGTTTCGAGCACCAGACGAAGCTGGATAATGTAGTTAGCATTCTTGTTTGTGAGGTTTCCCGGCCTCTAGAAATCAATTCGATAAAAAAAGAACATGAAGGCCTCCGAATCCTCTTCGGAGGGCCCTCAACCCCCCAACATCTGGGGACCCCAACGGCCCCAAACGGTCCGGCCTGACGGGCCTGGGGTTACCCCTCCGCCAACTTTCCGGCTGGCAACCCTGCTTTGGAGGATTTTGTTTTTAATCCATTATTTTTGGAAAGATTGTTTATTATTCATGGTGAATAGGAAAACAAAAATATATCGGACCTAAGAGAGGCCCTAGAAGTCTTACTGTCCTAACCTTGTTATGTTGAATCACTCGGCTATTTAGAGATGACCAGTTTTCCTTTCAGAGTAACTGCAGCAAGGGCGTTTCCTCTCTCCCAGCATTTGAATTTCCAGTGGACACCCCCTCGGCCTCTGGTCATTCTCCAGTCTGACAGGATGCTGACGCGAATACTGTTCTTCGCCATCTGAATCTGTTGCTGAATTGACATCTTCTCCTTCCTGATTATAGATTGCATCTTGCCTTCGAGATAGCATCCAACAGGACGCCTTTACAGACCAGGGCTACATGACCCCAACCACCATCCAATTTCTTACCTTTTGGAGTACCATGCGAAATCCATTTGTCAGTTCAATCCTGTTCCTGTTTGGTGAGATTCCTCAAACGAGGAATCCACCAGATCCATAGGTGCGAGGATTCCCATCCCCAATCACATGTGATGCATGTCATTTTCAATACCATCCCTCTTGCAGATGACCACAGGGCAGACGGGGTAACTTGAAGGGACTGCATCCACATCAGGCTTGCATGCTTTTGGCAGGTAGTGCCTTTTAGTATCATCCACATGCTTAGAAAATCAGGAGGGGGACGCCTCTGGCATTGAAGTTTGGTCAGTCTGTCTGGATCAGCTCTGACTGGGATCCTCTTATTGCTCTCTCTCAAGTTGGTGACCCCCATGTTAGTTTTGTAGAAATACAAAGAGTGTATTGGCAGATTCCAAACCTTGTTTCCACCCATACAGCTGCGGATTAATTTTGAATTCTGCTGCTTCCCTACCCAAGTACCACTTGTTACTATTCTCCCTCCCTTCTTCCCACACTCGAGTTTCCGTAGACTGTACTGCAGCCTCACCCTCAAAGGCCAAATATTTTCCTTTTTCCCGTCCTTCCCATCGGCCACATCTGCACCCTGGTTCAGATGCAGAACGTCTGGCCGCAAAATTCGCCGCAGGCTCCTATTGTTATCCAGTTCCTTAGCCCAGGAATCCTGCAAATTCTCTTCTTTGTAAATTCTCTTCTTTGTAAATTCTCTTCTGTCTTTTGAGACTTGCTCCAGTGTTGCGGGATGGCTGCTATCAGTGCCCCTACTTTTTCCTCATGCGGAATTGCCATGCAAATGGGAGTTGGCAGCTCCTTATGGTGGAGCGTATTGCGCACCACTAAATTGGAGGAAAGGCCAATCCACACTCTCCAGCCAAGTCTTCCTTTTGGTGGTTTGGTGCAGCAGCATATAAACTCGGCCATCTGATGCATTGGCACAATAATCTTTTCAAAATAATCACTGAATATGGGGCAAGTGGAGCCTCATGCATTATCACGACGTTGTGGCGTAAGTGCTTTTAGGTCGGAGAAGTTCTCCAATGTACGTCGGTGGAGTACGGCCTAATGTTGAGGCATTGTCATATACCGATTACATTGCCCCTATACCCAGCCACAGGAATGTTGAAATCGTCCAAATGCACAAGACGAGTGTATCGAAATAATTGTTGTCATACACACTATCTAATTGCCTAAATTGTTTGTATATTCATGTGGTAACCTGTTTTTTTTTTTTTTTTTTTTTTTTTTTTT